TATATCGTATTCCTGGTAGCAGGTGCTTCGCCGAGACCTTGTTGACAAGACTGCTATGCAACGGTCAGGATTTAATCTATGCGTTATTATGTTCCACGTCGTGCTGCATCTACCATGCTTGGCATTTGTCTGTTGGGATTTGAAGTGCTAGAGCATCTGTAATATTTTTCATTAATTTTTTTTCTATCTACTATTTTCAACCATAAAGGTAAAATAATTCGTCTTAGCGGACCTTTAACTGCTCATCAATATCCTCTCCATATATTTATAGTTTAATCAACAGATCGTCCAAACACATTGTCTGATAATGAAGGTTGTCTGTCACACTCCGCTTAACAAATGAATGTTGTAGGTCACTAGTCGGTAAATAAATGAATTATTGTGCATTATCTCCTAACTCATATGAAGGCTGGCTGTCTCAAACCGCCAGACATAAAAAGGACTGTGTGCACGCGTCGCTTAACCATTTAATAAAAGATACGACATCCATCGTCTGAAAATGACACAAAAATCGACAAAACTTGCCCAAAACTTAGTTTCGCCACACAATGACCTAGATGAGCTCCTAATTTTTGCTAAAGGAAAAATATGTCTGTATACTAAAATAACAGTATATTTGTCCTGAGAAAGCCTAAACATGCGTTCTGCATATCGTCTCATTTTTGTTAATGTTTCAGCCAAGATATGTCAATTGGAAATACAAAACAATTATTATTGTACTACAGCATGGATTATGTTTACAAATGGAGAGTATCTTTGCAGATATACATGTATTTTTGCATATAAAGAAGACAACCACTTTTCAAAATGTATACATACATTTATTGTAGTTGTCATGCCTGGACACACAAGGAAATTAAAGATATTTGTTACTTTAGACTTATTGAAATAAATATCAGTCGTTCTTTTTCTAAACATATTTACAGCCTCACTTAACGCTGGCTTTGTTCACATGTTGGTGAACTGTTGAACCCTCGGCTCAAACAAAGCTGAAAAAAGTTAACACAGTTTCTAAACATATCCGACTTAACAGAACATGCTCTGTTTTCAAAAATCGAAGAATGCTTTGCTACGTGGAGCATTTTCTAATTATTTTAAATAACATTTCGATACGAAATAGTTACCACAACATGCCGTTCATCAAATATAAACTTGTGTGTTTTCTTTCAGGAGGAAATACATTTTGAGACATTTCTATATCATTGACTGAATATTGACCCACTTAATCGTACATTAACATTGTGCCAAAATCTAGTTTGGCTCAAAAACAAATGCCACATAGCTTGGTTGTAAATAAAATAGCAACATTTATTATAATATATATAATCCTTAACAATCTTCGAAATGCATTTCTTTGATTGGCTTATATGTAACTTTTTGTAAATAAAAAATATATAAGTTAATATCATGATAGTATATTCACTGTTCTTTTCTCTTAAAATATATTTTCAGAGTATATGAACCTCTTTTTTGTGGTTCATTTTTATTTCCATTTCTAAAACAAGGTTTTCTGGAAATCCCTCAAAAGACGCGATGCTATAACGTGACGTGAAGTTTGTTGTTTTTATTCTAAAAAAATATGGAAAAAGTAGACAAGCTGAAAAATGTCAATTTCCATCGTTTTCAATGACAGATTTGACCAGACATATTATAAGCTATAATGATTTATGAATTATATAATAAAACAGAACTGATGATAATTTATTCTTTTAAGATTGTGAATATGATATGATATTGCCTAGTTTAATATTATTTGTATTTTTTTCAGTACATATCACATCATATTCACCAGCTAATAAGTTCATAATTGTATATTTTTCAAATGCATTAGCCGAGCATTTGAATAAATGTTAATATTTTATTTTGTAACCAAGATCTATGCAATATATATGTGTTGTGCCAAAGAGGAGGTTAATATCATGTTCCATGCACGATAAAATAGACAAACGTTTACTTTACGGTAAAGAAACAACAGTTACTAAAGATGTGTAAACGCAAAAGAATAAAGAAAAACGGAATCCCCAAAGGACGCTCAAGGAGAAATTGAAATGAAATGTTGTAGACTCGGGGTGACTGAAACGCTTTATGGACGATACTAGAGAGAACAAGTTTTTAGCACCGATTTAAGAAGAATTCAGCATCTATACGTGAAATGTGTTACGCAAATTTATTCATAACTCACACATTTATATGTGGTATAAGTTCTAGCAACGATATATTGGGCTAATTTGTATCAAAATTGCTTCTAAAGAGATTAAAAAAGTATTCAACGTGGCAAAGCATTCTTTACTTTTGAAAAAACAAGAATATTCGTTCATAAAGGTATATTTTAAGAAACTGTGTGTACCTCTTTCAGCTTTGTTTTTGGCCGAAAGCTCTTAACAAAAACGTCAGGCCTGTCATTTTAATAGATCATCAAAATGTGAATGAGTCACGGTTTTATAACGGTGATATAACTATGTTTATTTTCAAGTCACATGAAACAGTATTGTCCCATTGCGAGATACGTCAACATCAAAATAAGACAATTATTTCCCAATGACAATTGCCCTAAAAACCGATGACCAAATTTCTTTTATTTTACAAGGGAAACAAAACATCAGTACTCGCGTATTAACATCTTTTCAATCAAATCAGATAAAGGAAATGTCAAATTCAGAACATTACAAAACTCCCTAGAGATTTGATAACAAAATATGCAAGTAAAACCTAGAATTGATTAAGTCTGCTCACATCAAAACGGATTTGTATCAATTTTCCCGAAAGACAAGAAAACAGATGACAGACTTGCAAGAAAAAAAATGTATATTTAAATGCCATACCAGTTTAATTGACTTAGATGTGTGTGTACTGATTCTTTTATCTGTTTTGAAAGTCTCGAAAGTATTGGCAAATACAGAGTGAAAATACATGATGAATGTGTTTCTTTTTTATTTTTAAAAGTTTTTTTTTCTTCTGAATTTACACTATGACAATAAACATATATTTTTTTCAAACAAGAGAAAGAACAGTCTTCGTTCAAAAAAGAGTTATATACAAGTGTCTTGGTGAAATAAGCATTGCTATCTACGCCATTGCTCATTTAATAAATCATATTTTAAAATCATTAAATTTAAATCGAAATAACAAACATAGCCCTATGTAAAAAAAGTGATTTAAAATACGGTTACAAAAATGATAGATTGAGACATATTTTTTTATATAAAACCTTTTTTAAACAACACGCGAACTTGTTTTACTTATAAATGCTTAAATGTATACTTTTTAAAAGTTTGCATGTGCGAAATTTTGTTTACAAATATTGAAGCTTGTTTTATGGCCTAACAAACATATGTTAAATGACTATAACAATTTCAAATAAAAAACAAATGTGTAAAATATTTCTATCATTATATTCAAACATGTTATATTTTTCTCTACTTAAATATCAAAATAAATATAAACATTAATTTCACTTTCACTTTCTGGCTTTCTTTTTTCAACATCATCAGTCAACTGTAGCATGTCAAAGTAAAACTTGGCAAATTACTCCAATAATTGTAACAATTATTTGGCAGTCAACATTTCTATGACATATAATATGTCCTACGATGTTGTAATTTACGCATAGCGAAGAAAGCATGTTTAAATGAACGTTCGCTTGTCATGGAAATTGGCTTAATTATACATAAAGAAATTTAATATACGAATCGCATATGAATTAGTTTTAGTTTGACCTTAGACTTTATTGTTTACATTATGGTCAAACCAATGTCTATTCTAGAAAGGAAATCAAATACTCAACTTCTCATTTGCACCGGCAATATAGCTACCAGTTGACGTATCAACATTTATAGCGCGGAAATAATACTATCTAGGATTTCATTAGTATCTGTACGTACGGGAAATGCCTTTTAACATTTGGCCTTTTGACACTTTTCGTTTTCTCAAAAGCCATTTGTTGCAAACCATGTAGTAACATACGCATTGATGTGACGAGAAATACAGAACACTATTTCTCAGTAATAAGGCAAGAATAAGCGAAGTAACGATCCATTTAATAACTTCGGAGATGTAATGTTACAATGGCTAATATATATCATTTTTGCAACTGTTACAACAACAATATATTGTTGTTGTAACAGTTGCATATATAATTTGTAATTTTGAAACATGTTTTTGACATAGCATGTTTTTTACCATCCAAGTGCATTGGTCTACAATGGCACATTTTCCATAATAATTTCAAATATTGATAAAAACTTAAGAAATGTATCATTCGGATATTCTTATAAAATATTGCATGAAAGAAATGATATTGATATTTAAAGTCCTTAGTGATTGAGTTTGAACATTTGTATGAATAATTATAACATTTTTTCTAGAACAATTTATTGTCTGCTATATAAGTATACGTTATATCGGATCAGGTATCTATCTCACACTTGCCGACAACATCCATGAATAATTTTATCATGACTTCTTGTGATGTGTGATAATATTACTATCAAAGTAATCATTTATTGCTTTACAAACCTTCCATTATAGTGGCGATTTATTTTTAGTTTGTAACACAGAACATCTTGACATCTTGTATGGCTGACGTTCTCTGCTGTGTCAATTATAGCTAGTAGACTGCATTATTCCAAACAACTCAACAGTTTAAATACAGTGATGCCGAAAGTGCCTTAATGTTGCATTTTTTTTCTCATTAATGTTGCTCTTCTTTGACATAATATCGGTCGGAAATAAGTGAAGAGATATTAAATGGTGAGACTCTACAATCGTTCAGACGCTTCGTATAAAAGCCAGAAGTTTCCTTTGTATTTGCTTCATAAACTGCATAAAATATTATGTATAGTATATTGCTTTTCTCCGATGAAATAAATGTTTTATAGGAAAGTTTGTGGTTGTTGATAGGGCATGCGCCGTTATTTGTTATCATGTGATTTTCTATCAAATAATGATAAATCAAAAGACTAAATAAGAAAACAGTAGAAAATATCAATACCCACAATTTATTATCATATGTATACATATAGGCAAAGTTTAACAATTTGCAAATGCTTTTAATGTTTTTATATTACATCATGCTGCCGATAAACCTTTAAGACATAAACAGAGCAGATTTATTTCTTTCAGTTGTTTTTATAAAACCAACAATGTGAATGTTTATTTAAAAATGTGTGTGATGTTACAGTGAAACAAAGAAAAAATCAGAAACCCTAAAGGACAAAATTGAAAATGGTGCAGACTCGGTTTAATTGAAACTGTTCATGTACAGTATAAGTTTTACTATAATATTTTTTTTTTCTGAAATTTATGTTTGATATAGTATAGAATAGACTTAACTTTAAGAAAAGAGCACATTTTTGTCAGACAGCGAATAGTAATTATAGAAAATCTGCACATTACGAATATATGACCTCATGTTGTTCGCTGCATGATTATAGTCACTGTTATGAAAGCTAAGTCTCGTTAAATATAATTTAATCACATGTTTAAAAATTCCATATTATGCATTAAGGTATATAGTAAGATTTAACAGTAAATGACAATTGTTAAATCAATTAAAGATAAGTACTAAAACGTACTTAATACATAGCTCTTATTATAATAATTAATGGGTCATAAGCAAAACCAAGTTCTGAAAAACTATACGTTCATTTGTATTATTTGAAAGAATACAAAGACATTAGTTCTTGACACTTAATATGTTCATTTTTAAAACTACGTAACAAATATTGTATCTGTTATTTATACACCAAAAGCCTTATAAATTCAAGAATCAAAACCGTTCCCTATGGTAAAATACTTTTTCTTGTATTCAGTGAGATTAGTTGATGAAATAATTATATGTATATCTCTGCTGGTTCAAAGAACTTTTCAGAAAATAAAAATACTAAAAGACAAGTTCCGTTCAGAGTCAAGATCACGATAAAAAATATTAACGCCTCAATACTGGACAATATCAATACAAACCATTTAGCTGATCATCAGTAATTGCAAATAAATATTGAAATGCCTTACAAAATAACCGAGGATGTTTTTTTTTTCAGGCCAAATAGCAAGTTTCACACTGTTTATATAAAAAGAAATCCAGATAATTAGCTTCGGATCCTGATTATCTGACCACTGAACAAAGTTTTGGTTTTGTCTTCTTCCCATCAAGTAATAATTATGCTGCCTTTTACAAATACGCAGTAAAATTGATATATGTATACCGTTTAAATTATACAGTCAGAAGGAACAGAGATTTTCGTTTCAAAGGGGAAAACACTTTAAAACACTTTTATCGAGCTCAAGAATCAATAAGGAGTCTTTCGTTTGGTTTGTTGCAATTAAAATTGCAAGATGGCTGTCGTAATATTATCAGATAAGTTATTTAAACTATGTAAGAATTACTGCATCAAGAGAGCTTTTTTTATTAGAACGAAAAACAACAACAACAAAAAAATCCTCAATACTGTGTTGCAGCCTTTTCATGTGTCAAGCGCAAGAATCAACAAGAGATCTACCGTTTTGTGTGTTGCGAAATGAGGCCGCCTGTGGACTGTCTTTATTTGAACACCGAAACTGACTTTTAAATCCCTGTCTAAAGTTTCTATTCATAAAACCATACGTAAGCGGATGAATAAAAGAAGAGGTATATGCCAAAAGAAGTATCAATGATTTGGCAATCGGTGAAACATTTTTTATAACTGCCATGAAATCGAAGGCTTCCCACGTGCTCAAAAGATATGTTGGTGCCCAACATATGAAGTACTGAAGCACTATGACAACTAGCATTCGAATGACTCTCTTCCTGTTGGATAAATTGTGTGACATCATAGATGGTCCTTTGCTTGGCGCAGGGTATTTCCTTACTCCGTATTTGTCTTTACGAGATTTCCATTTAGGTGAAGAATACTCGGATGTTTTGTTAGAATTGTCTGAAAAAAAAATGTCATTGGCAATTGTTATATATAACATTAATTGATCGAAGGCATTTGGCATTGCATCCCACGAAAGCAATTTTGGTTTTAATCTTGAAAAAATTGCGGACATATTACTAGGTAATAATAACAGTGACTTTCTATCGCATAGTTCACCAAAAATTTGATGTACTTAGAAACGCATTCTTCATTTGGACTTTTATTCATAATGCAATTGTCTGTTAATCAGTTTTATTTAGAGTGATGATAAGTTTGTTTGATAACAATTTTTCTTTCAAATATAGTTCAGACATGATGGTTTACAATGGGTTATTACGAATAAAGAGAACATTTAACTGCTGGCTTGCAATTAAATAACCTATCAACAATTCAAAGTAGTAAATTTTAGAATAAAAGGTATAACTTATGCACGCATATCGATATTAACAGTTCACATACCGCTTCAGCGGCTGTATGCAAAAAAATATTTCATCAATAAATATTTCATCACAACAGTCTTTTTACAGAGTTCAAGTTCTGGAACTAACGGCATACCTTACTTTTCTAATATGAGTATTCGAATGTTGTATTTACAACAATATAAAGGACTTATGTTACGAATAGACAACGGCTACTTAAGTATCTCTTATAGTTTATATACATTGGAAATGTTTGATATTTGGTACTGACCTATTGATGGGGTATAGTTGCATTGGTTTGATGATATCCAAAGCTTCTTGCTGACTAATCCGTAGAAAATCCCCATCATTATTAGAGGTATAAGCAACAATATAACAGATAAGGCAACATCGTAGACGAGGTCTATTTTATATTCAATTAGAACCTGAAAAATATTTAATATAGCCAGGATCGTATAGTGCCTTTTTTATAAATACGTAAATTGTACTGGATTGGTGTACCTTTTCCCTTTTTAAAAGTAAACTTAATGTCAAAGACATAGACTCGCTTACAGTTATCGTAGATTAGAAATAGGCATGGTAAGCAAGATAGAAAGCAACAACAATTAACTGTATCAATCACTGAAACATTTTGGGGAAAAATGTTTTTAGTTTTGAGAGAGGACAAGTTTACCTCAGGCCAAATTTCTCGACAAGCGTGATTGCCAGTTCGGAGGTCAATGACATTGTGAAAGGCTGCAATTGGACTCATTGGGCAAGGCACTGCTCCAAAAAATCTCTAACTCCACTCTAATATATCTCCATGAGCGACGTGTGCCATCCGTTCGAGACAGAGAGGTTGACAATGGATAATATCGTTCCAGAGATATCGCAACTAAGGTGTAGCAACTTACACCAACTGACACCGCTGAAAGTAGAAAAACAATATGAATTTCTTAAGATGGTCCTTAAACAATATGGTACATGAATATATAAAGTTTATTTTAACATTTATGTAAAGGAAATCTTTGCAATTTGTCTCAAATTTTTCATTGTTTGACTAAATTTTACATTCATCAACTATTGTGTTATGTGTTGTATAATACCCACACGAATTTTTCTTATTTTGCCTCTTATACCCAATATCTCTACCGACAACTCATTTTTATTTCGACATGTCTCCCTTTGAATAATGAACACGGCTTTGACTTATCGAGCTGAGATTGAATTCAAACGATGCGCTTCTTATTATCCGTAATATTTAATTTACAAAAACTATAGTGTTGTTGTATCAGAAGTACATTATAGACAAAAACAAATGCTAAATCATGTAGACTATGTTAGTACTAAAAATACCTTTCAGTTCATATAGATAATAAGTATTCATACAGACTACATGCCACAAATTGTTTGCATACTATATAAAAGATTATATAATTAAACAATTAAAATCCTAAAGATCACGAAAGCTTTCATTTTAAACAAACGTAGAGTACTTTATTCTTAGTGCCAGTTCTTAAGACAGAAAACAACATCAAACAAAAGATCAAATACAAAATGAATGTTTAATTTGCCTCCTTTTCTTAAAGTCTTACTATGCAATTTTTCCCGCGGCTTGGTACTTCTTTTGAAACCAATCTTAAAATTTCATAAACGAGAAGAATCTTATAAGAAGCTCTGAAGTTCTGATTAAACACAGTCAAACAATAGGAATGCGGGGGAGATTGCTTCGTGGTCATATAAAACGGAACTATTCCAGTTTTATTTAATATATGCACCATGTTGATTTAATTATTTCTATTTATGTTTTGAATAAACATTTATTAACTTCTTAATTTAAGGTAAATTATGTCTCAGAAAGCCATTTTGTAAAAGTCTATAGAAACATGAGTTTTACAACTGAAGAAAGTAATGCTGAATTTTTGGTACTGTGTCGTAAAGATAGTAAAATGTAATAAAACAAAGTAGTACTTTGGCTTTCAAACAAAATACCAATTCACTACCATGATTATATTCATCACCAAAAGAGCTAAAGGAGATAAAGACAGTTCATGGATATGGCATATTAGTATTTTTGGAACCTTAGCAAGATAAAACAAAATTGTGAAATAAAAAATGAAACACATAATCGGCCTTTCAATAGGATGAAAACGTAAATCAGATCAACGTTTTTCTTACAAGCAGAGAAGTTGAATGACATTTCATCAAGTAATGTGTTCCTTGTGGTCAAGAGTGTGATAATAACCCTCCCTAATCTGTTACTTTGCATTGTCTAGAAGTTTAGTCATGCATGCTTTTTATTATTTATCATTGTATGGAGAAACAATGTAATGAGTTAGTATTGTATTCTCTTTGCAATGTTGTTTCTTATATATGTTTATTCTTAAACATAAATATAAAACTCATTTTCTTAAACTAAAAGGCACATAATGACACAGGAATGAGTAATGAAGAACTTCTTTAGACGGGTAAAATATAAGTTTCATAATTATAATTAAACAAGGTTTTAAGAGCATGTTAAATGCATGTTATCTGAACAAAATAGCGCTAAATGTACAATGTGTAGTAAAAGCAACAAAATGTAAACAAAATAGTATTTTGATTTCTATACAAAATACTAAATCACTTTAAATGTACTAACAGTCAAAATAAAATAAAAGATTTTGACAGTTTAGGAAATTGGCCAATGAGTAACTGTGTAATTGTTGGAAACTTTAAAAGATTGCGAAAATTAATAAAATATTTCGAGAAATAAAAAAGGAAGCATTTTTGGGTAAAACCGGCTTTTAAAGTATTTTTCCATTTCCTTAAGTTTGTAAAATCACTATTTAACGCAATGATTGTAAAATACACATAATATAATGAGAATGTACCTTTAAAAATGATATTGTTAATATTTTCATTTCTTTAAAAGAACTTCACTGATGTCTTATAGCCATAACATTATACGATTTAAAATTCTGTCATTTATCACTTGGTGCACTTAAAATAGAAAACTATAATTTAATGATAAAGATAATATAATCCAATTCCTCAACGTAATTGAAATAAATAAATAGATATAAAAAATCAGATCAAAATTTTACTGATTTATCAAATATTCTGATTTTTATATAATAAAATGTATGATAGCAAAAAATTTAATGAATTCAAATAAATCTCGAACTCTCCGAAAGAACATGTACAATAGCAATCAACTCTTGTCATCTTTAGTTCGCATAAGAATTTCTATATCGATAACAACACATAAGAAAGTGTGAATACAACAATTTATTGTAAATAAGTTATCGATTCAGACAGTCTGCTTGACGAATGAAAACATCTTATACGCCAAAAAAGTTATTTACAATCTTGCGTGAAAGAATTGCGGCGTATATCATTTTGCGTTTGTCCGTTTTGCGTTGCGCATCGGCAGTAACCTGTTCAGTGTTTACGGTTTTAAGCAAATTGACTGACTGACTTTCCAATTGCTGCACTGGAATAATACATAGTAACTGTTACATGTTGAACTGTTGTACACAAAAGAAAACGTAGTTTCATTTGAAATATTGTTTGTAAGCAGCAGACCAGGTACAAAGTAGAATTTTTACTTTCATACAAAAAACTAAATTCACTATCTGGCCAATAGAGCTAAAGGAGGAAAGGACATTTTATGTATATGAACTAATTTAACATAGATTTATAAATATAAAGAAGTGATGAAGTGACCAGAGAGATTCAAGATTGTATGTCATTAAACAAAATGTGCAACAAATTATAGCTTTAATTGTTAACATGAATTAAATACTCATATTAATGATAAATTTTGGAAAGCTGAATTTATTGCATATGATTAGACCTCTGGTTACTCTAGAGGAGGGTACATGCAATGTACCTGAATTTTTGTGAAACACTGTAGTGCTTGTTAACATGTGTAGTCACAACAGGTTTTTTATACTTTGCATTCTGTAACAACAAAATAATAAGAATTTCAAATTAATGACAAAAGTTGTGTTTAATAAAAATAAAAAATAATGGATTTAACAAGGAAATCATTATTGATTGTTGTGTTGTAGTTTCTTTTCTTTTCATTTCTTTTCTTTCTCACCATTACAAAGAAGAGATCATAACTGCTAACTTTGTATATTTATGTTATACTTTTCGCTATTACACAATTAAATGATATCATTTGCTTCAGTTCATACCATTTTAGTAACGAAAAAGAATGGAATCCCTAAATATACACCAAAAACGACACAATTGAAATTGTTGCATGATCGGTCTGAAGGCCGGTATACTAGTTTTACCAGTTTGAATCCTGATAAACTGAAGTACATGTGTAAATCATTCGTTACACATGTTTTGCAAATAAGTTAATTATGAGAGTGAATTGTTTTCAAAAACCTGACTCTTGTAATTTATGAAATATTATTTTCATACTAAAATTAATGTTTTCCATCGAAAAAAATTGCTTGCTAAAATAAATCAAAAATCACATCAAAGATATTTGCTCGCTGTCACAGAAAATGTAATATAAGATCGAAAATAAGAAGTGCAAATATTTTTTTCCAAGAATATTGGGTCGGAAGATTTCTAAATTATGGAGAGAGAGAGAGAGAGGACATTGTACAAATCAACCTCATATTGTGTTATCCAGAGATTTTCTCATTATAAATTGAACCAAGAACTCTGTCTCGGTTTTTTTGTCTAAATTAATGAATAAAAAATGCATAAAATTTGTTACCATGTTTTAAAAGCTTGAATTTCTGTCCGCTTCATGTAAATGTATCAAAACGAATGAAATCACAAGAAGAGTATTGTGTTAAAAAGCAATGAATAATTTTCTTGTTCTGCTAGGGTTTTTTAGGAAAATTCATTGCTTTGGTTGTCTAGAATTTAAGGTCGAATGATTCTTTAACTATCTTATAAATTGTTGACATGAAACCTTATATAAAAATAAAAGTCATATTATAATACTAATTAGATCAATTAGTAAATGCTTCCTTATCTAAGGTAAACATGGCATTACTTTCGAAATACAAATTACTAGTTTAAAATGTTGACACCTTAAATACTGGGTCTACTTTCCTATATATTTGTATTAACATGCATTGCATTTCATTTTATCTTGAAGCTAAATTTGAAGATATCTTTGTAGTGAAACATGACTTTGATAATATATTACGGTTTCTGGCGGTTAAACATATCTGTTCATTCAAAGTCACTCGATACAGTAAATCAATTAACATTTAGGTAAGGGACAAATATATATACCGATTAGGCAATATTTGAGATAATGTCAATCTAGAAATTTTAAGAGTATCGTCAAATATTAACTTATATATTAAATTTAGATATACAACATACAAAATAACCAGGTGTTCTTTAATATATAAATTGCTATTTTTGACAACATGTATAATTCATAAATA